CTAGCGCTGACTGCATTTTCTCTCTCTTCTTCTCATAGTCGACGAAGCCTAGCACCGACTTTGTTTTCTCTCTCTTTTCCTCACAGTCGGTGAAGCCTAGCACCGACTGCATTCTCTCCTTTCGATGAAGCCTAACGCCGACTGTGTCTTCTCTCTCGTCTCCTCTGTATAACATGATCAGTGAAGCCTAGCGCTGACTGCGTCTTCCTTCCCTCTCTCTCTTTTATTCTCCCTCCTTTCATACTCTTCTCCCTTCCTCCTTATACTCCCTTCTTCTCTTACCTCACTTCTTATTCTTTCTTCATAACCATCATTCTATTACTATTACTCTTTCATTCAACTAAGAGGGATTGAGGTTAGCCTCTCATAGTAGTCATGTCATCTAGCCGTAATGTTGTTGTGCCAGAATTACTTGACCCGCTTTATTGACACGACAGACTAACTATCATGCCTAACTAGTTGGTACTGATAATGACGTCTAGTTGTAATCCTGTGAGCCGATCTTAGTTATCGAGCCCATTTTACTACCACGTCAAGCCAATTATTCATCAGCTTAGTTGCCACTCTGATCCTCTCGCTCACTCAAAATCTTCTCTCCCCCGTCTTTCTTATCTTATTTTTCTTTTTGAATGCGCATGCTTATGTACATTCATCAAAGAGGAAACGGGTAAGCCTTGACCCACCTATCTTATAACCTTTGTCATATGTGTGTGATTGTAGAAAACAAGAAGAATACAAGCCAAGGGAAGCAATTCCGAACCAGTTTTATTACTGGGGGGCTTTCTTTGTGATCTAAGAGGGCGCCCATGGGAGCCAGCCCGAGTAAGTCCCGAACCCACCTTAAATTCCTCTCTCACCGGTTGGTAACACTTGCCCCCGTTCTCGAACGAGGTTCCTGAGAGAGCGATCCCAAAAATGTCTCAGGCCTTCCCTCGAAACCGAGACGTGTGCCGCTTAATCCCCAAAAGGATCCGGAGGGCGAGATCGAGGTACCTAACCATATGCATTTACAAATCTGGTATTGTATGTTGAGGACATGTTGATTTCTTGAAAATCCATGTTAGACATAAATTAATTGAAGACTCGGTTCGAGAAAGAATATAAAATGAAAGACTTAGGGCATGTAGTAAAACATTGGGCATGAAAATCTATTGTGACAAAAAAAGAAGAAGAAAAATACGCTTTTGTTATTGAAAAAAAATATTTTGAGAAAGGAAAAATATATAATGAGAATATTTATCTTTGGTACAAAGTGGTCACAATTAATCGTGACCATTGGATGTGAAATTGGGTGGCTACATTTATTTCATTGACCAAGCTCAAAGTTCAAAAGAAATTTTCTCGAACTTTGTAATACACCCAAACTATCAGATTTCATTTCGGATAGTTATGAGTAATTGTGACCTCCTTGTACCAAAGGTAAATGGTCTCATTGTATGCAATCCCTTTGAGAAAAATTCTCTTCTCAATGGTGCAAAACATATTTATATACCTCTTACTACTCACCTTAATCTTTTTGTAGATTTATGTCCCCCCACAAATGAAGATGGGAAATATTGTGTGGTATTCCATGTGCTACAACACTTGGCAACATCATGTATGCAATGGTTTATACTAGGTTAGACATTTTCTATGATGTTGACGTTGTTGGAGGGTGCCTGGGAAATCCAAAGAGGGTGCCTGGGAAATCCAAAAAGCAACATTAGATGCTAGCAATGGATAATTCATTACTTGAAAGATGTTTGAACTAGGTTTGATAAGCTTGCTATATGGTAAAATAATCTAGTTAAACGAATCTAGTGGGTTTACTATATGCTTATTTTGTTTGGAATCTTGACAAGAGGAAATTTATTATGAGATTGTTAACAAAGAGACCATTTACCTCTTATAGAAGGAGGTCACAACTATTCCCACTCATTAGATGTCAAAATGAATGGCTTGGGGTGGGTCACATAGTCCGAGATTTTTTTGAGAACTTTGTGTCTAATCAATGACACCCTTACAACCATCTATTTTGAAATCTAAGGAACAAGAATGACTGTGACCTTCTTGTACAAAAGGTAAATGGTCTCTTTATAGACAATTCTATTTACTATTACTTACGATTTCACTATTATCGGTGGATTAGGCAGTTGAAAAATCATCATTGCAGTTTATAATTGCTCTCTTTACTATTGAAGTGAATGACAACCATAGTGGCGATCAAGGAAGCAATAGAGTAAAGTATTGCAAGTTAGTTTGGCTAGGATAATTTGATAATTTGAAGGTATATTATGATAACAAAGTGATACATGTTTGACAATGAACCACATGCAAGTACTAAACATATAAGATTTGAGGGACCATTGTATTGTGGTCATTGAAGAAGGTAAAGTTTCACCTATGAAATGGTGTTGACATGATAACCATGACATTCAATAACTGATGGGGATTTTCCCTTCCACGCAAGTGTATACCCAAAGTTTCATAGTCTTCCAAGGAACTGGCGGTATCTACTTTTTAGCCTTAGAAGGCAAGTGGACATTGTTGTATCTGCTTTTTACGACATGTGTGCATCGGTGGAAATAACAAGAGAACTTCAAAAGCTTTTTAAAACAAAATATCTCACCGAGGAGTCCAGTAATAAGAGATTTCTTATTTCAAATTATTTGTGAATTCACTTAAGCAATTATTTCTCAATTGTATGAATTGCAACTGATAGTTAATGAACTTAATTATTGTTGAATTCAATAAGATGGGTGTTTCTAAGTAGGTACTCTAATTCACAAGTCACCCCCATCTTAAAAAGTATCAAATGAAAATAAAGCACAAGAAAGTTGACATTGAGTTTGTTCAATTATAGAGTTCTCTTCGAATAGAATAGGAAAATAGACTTTGAGAAAAGAAAGATGAAATTGTGGAATATCAAACCAATGCGAATCTTATCGAGCAAAAATCTAATAAGAATGCTCAAAGCAACAATAAACCTTTATTTCCTATGGTCCAAAAGGATAATTCTAAGGACCAGAAGTCTAAAAGGAAGGATTCATGTTGTGTTTGCGGAAAATTAAGACACTACTAAAGAGAATGTAGAAACTGAAAGGGGCCTAAAAGCCTAAAAACCAAGCTATCATGACTACTAAAAAACATTTGATGGCAATGGTTACTGAAATACACATGATTAATAAGACGATGGATGGTGGGTTGACACTAGTGATACAATTCATATATCAAATAATAGAGATCTATTTAACACATTCAATCAAGTGAGTGATGGGAACTCACAATCCATATATCAAATAATAGAGACCTATTTAACACATTCAATCAAGTGAGTGATGGGAACTCACAATCCATATATCAACTAATAGAGATCTATTTAACACATTCAATCAAGTGAGTGATGGGAACTCCGATCAATTGGGAACTCAAGCTATGGCCAAGATTCTTGAAAAGAGTATTGTGGAACTACAAGTTTAGTGCGGGCAAGGTCTTTACCTTGAAAAATGTATACTACATACTAGGTATTACGAGAAATCTAGTGTCAAGCTATATTTTGAACAAGAAGGCTTAAAATGGATATTGGGTTCGATAAACTCATCTTGACAAAAAATGATGTATTTGTTGGCAATGGCTACTTTTGTAATGAGATGTTTAAACTTGATTCGGTTAATGCAATGAATAAATATTTTGTTTATATGGTAACTTCTTGTAATATGCGACATGCTAGCTTAGGACATGTTAATTTTACTTCAGTTAATTCTTTGGTAAAGTTAAGTTTGATCTCTAAATGTGATGAATTATCTAATGAAAATATGAAATTTATTTATATAGAAAAAAAACAATAAGAAAGACTCTCTTCAGTTGAAATGAATTATGAGTTGTTAGGGTTTGTTTATAGTGATAAATGTGATCTAAATGATGTTCTCATTAGATGTGGGAAAAGATGTTTCATCATATTTATTGATAATTTTTTTGATATACTTCTTTTTATTGAAAGATGAGGCTTTTGAAAACTTTTAAAATACTCAAGAAGCGATAGAAGTGGAAAGTATTTGTCAAATAATTATAATTAATTTTTTAAAATAATAATTTTTTAAAAAACAATAGTGTTATTCATCAAGGAACTGCTCCCTATACCCCTTAACAAAATAGATTAGCAAAAATAAAAAATAGAACTTTGATAGAATGGTGAATGCGATGTTAATTAGTTCTTCTTTGTCATTCAATTCATAGGATGGAGCTTTATAAAAAAATTGATAAAATCCCTTATGAACTACAGTTTCATAGACAACCATCTTTAAATCCCTTAAGATAAAAGGGTTATCTTGCATATGTTAAACTTCAATATTAAAAAAGAAACAAATTAGGCCACAGTACAACAAAGTGTGTTTGTTGTAGGATATTCATCAATTAGAGGAGATCTATCTTATAATCTTGACACAAAGGTTTTATATCAATGAAATTGAAACTAATCGAAATAAGGTAATTAATTCAATAACTATAGTCTTAAATGTGGAAAAAGAGCCTAAGTCATTAAGAGAAGCTTAACATCACCTGATGCCACTTTTTGGAGAGAAGCTATTACTAGTGAGATGGTGATGCAAATCACGTTTAGAAGTTAGTTGTTATTTTCAAGTTCGTTTGGTCAGCTCGATCTAATCATCATTCTCAGGATTTGTTTTGGTCACTAGGATTGAATATGTCATTATTTCTTTATTTTGGATCCCAAGATATGTTTGTCATTTTTTTGTTTAATTATTTTGGAATTTGTTAAGATATAGGAAATTTGATGTAGAGATAAAGTAATTTATTATGTGAAATTCCATGGTCAAATTTGTGGTTTCAATACTGATAAGAACTTTGGTGCATGAAAGTTGCATCCAAATATGAAAAATAGGTACATGGGTGACATAGGTCATGAAAGTTGCATGCAAATATGGAAAATAAGTACATGGGCGACACTTTAGTAGGGGTAGTTTGGTCAGACTGTAGAAGGGTTTAAGGTTTGGCTTAGCCATAAGGCATCTCTCTCTTTCTCTAGCAGCTAGGAAAGCTCTCGCTTTCTCAAGCAGCTAGGAAGAAGAAATGCGACTCCACCTGGTTCGTAGTGCTCCCTCTAGGCTCTTCCATGCCTTCCATTCCCTCTCTAAACCCTCCTCCTCATCTTCTTCTTCCTCTCTTCTTACCTTTCTCTCTCATTATCCTCTTCCTCCAAAACCCACTCATTCTTTCCTCCCGATTCTTCTGCAACTCGACAAAACCTTTTCAGTCCTTGTTCACAAAGACCCCACCATTAATGGTGCGAAGGAACCAGAGCCCAAAATCCCCAATCTTTCGAAGTATAGAAGCGAAGGGGATTACAATGACTCAGGGCTTGTGGTTTGTCCTGGTTGCGGAGTATACATGCAAGATGAAAATCCCAAGCTCCCTGGTTTCTTCATGAGACCCACTAAGAAGGAACCTCCAATTCACCTGTTTGTTTCGGAAGAGGAAATCCATGGCAGGAGGAGCATCCAACCTGTCTCTGAGATGGGTATTACTCCTCATTTTAATGGAGGAGAAACCCAAGAATTGAAAGGGAAAAAAGACTGCAATAATTTAGAGAAACCCTTTTGTTCTGCTCTCGTTAAGGGCACAGAGTCCAAGGAACCAGAAGAGGAGAAACACTCCAAAAGGACAGAGAAACCTATTGTCTGTGCTCGATGCCACTCCCTTCGTCACTATGGTAGAGTGAAGGATGCTGCAGTCGAGAACCTGCTCCCTGACTTCGATTTTGACCACACCATTGGACCCAGGCTAACGAGTTTCTCAGGAAGCCGCTCTGTTGTTTTAATGGTGGTTGATGCTTCTGACTTCGATGGCTCTTTCCCCAGAAAGGTCGCAAAGCTCGTCTCCTCTGCAATTGATGACGGCTCAACTGCATGGAAAGAGGGGAAATCAGGAAACGTTCCTCGAGTTGTTCTTGTGGTGACCAAGATTGACCTCTTGCCTCCAACCCTGTCACCAACTAGGCTAGAGCACTGGGTTCGACAAAGGGCTCGGGAAGGAGGCGCCAATAAGCTTTCGAGTGTGCACTTAGTGAGTGCGATCAAAGACTGGGGACTCAAGAATTTGGTTGATGATATAAGGGATCTAGCAGGTGCTCGAGGTAATGTGTGGGCTATTGGTGCACAAAATGCAGGTAAATCCACACTTATCAATTCAATAGGGAGGCATGTTATGGGTAAAATTACGCATTTAACGGAAGCTCCGGTTCCTGGGACCACATTGGGGGTGATCAGGATTAAGGGTATTCTTGGCCGGGCAAAATTGTTTGATACGCCGGGCCTTTTGCATCCTTACCAAATTACTACGAGGTTGACAAGGGAGGAGCAAAAGCTGGTGCATATAAGCAAGGATCTGAAACCAAGGACTTACAGATTAAAGGTACGGCTTTGCTTTTCCTATTCAGCAATTAGGTAGTATGGATTTGTTGAGTTTGTGTTTTGTTAGATAACCTAATGATTAGGTGCTCTTCCCTGATATGTGTTAACTGATTTTTTATTCTTCTCGATTTGACCATAATGTTGGATTAAATAAGAGGGGCATGATTTTTTGCAATGAGCACAACTGGGATTTGTTTGATTTTGTGCGTGGGTGGAATTGCTCCATTTGAGTACATTTACCTTGTGCCTTCCAATTCTTCAGGAGAAGACCATTGAATCCCCTTGGTGACTAAGCTCAATGATATCACAAAATTAATAGTTCTATGTCCTCATTTTTCTACAGCAATAACTAGTGTGGGAGTAGGACAATTTGGTTTTAAGCATACAATTTTCAATAGATTTGGTTACTCCCTTTGCGCTTCATCAGAGATGATCCCAATACGATTTGTTAAATCTAAATGGATTGTTTTAAGGTAAACATTGATGTTGGACTTTAAATTCTTTAGTAGATTTAAGATACTAAAAAAGAACCACAATAGTTATCTGAACTTAGGCTGCTGGCGATTAAAAAATGAACACTTTCCATGTATTGTGTCGTTTCTGTGATGCTTTCTTCAGTTCTTTTCGAAAAGCTCCACTTACTACTGGTTGATGATTTAAAAAAGTATAGATTCTGGCTGATTTTTCTGCTTATGAAGCTTAAAAGCTATTCGGGCTCCTATGTGATTCTATGTTAGGTATACTTGTGCATTGCTTACAGGCCTACAGAATTCGATTTGTAGTAGAATGGGATTGCCTCTATATCATGAGATGGGCCCAAAAAGGAGACCTCTAGTCGTTGTAAGGTGGCTGTGATTTTTGTTTAGATCTTTGACATTTGTGAACTGAGAACATGACCTTTGTGCACATTATTTGGGGGGCTAACAAGGAGGTTGATGCTCTTGTGATGAAAAATGAAATTCACAAAGAAGAGACTAAAAAAATATGAAAGTTCGATAAAAGATTGATAATGGAAGTTTACAAGCCAAGTTTCTTAGCTGTCTATTGAAATTAGGAATCTAAACAAATAATTATCAAACTTTGATCTAAAACCCTAAATCAACCCCTATTTATAGACTGAAACTTAATTTGACCTTTTGACCATCAAGAAAATCCTAGATGAATGTAATTGGACTCTTGGAAAAAATATAACACGAAAGGACAAAACTACTTATTTACAAATAAAATAATACCCTGTTGGTTCCAAACTAATCTTGTGCTGAAAATTCCAGACTCATAGTTAAAGTCTTTCGAAGCATTTTTCAGCCAAATTTCCTTGGCAAAATAGGCGGACCAGCGTTATAGTGCTCATCCAATTCTTTCCAAAATGGTGGAATAATAGCCATTCTAACACCAGAGTGAAAAGTTATAGCCTTTGGAGCCTGCAATATCCGAAAATAACGTAAATCAAAACTTTGGTTGGAGGGAAACCCAACTAATTGTGTCTCAGCTCTGCAAGTTCTCAAAATGACAATCAATACTTCTCTAATTAACAAAATCCTCGGTATCATATAGGAACCATATACTGAGTCTGCAGACTTTCCTAATGATTGATGAGAGGTCATTGGCAATAGAAGGGTTGTTGTTAAACCATTTTTTGGAACTTTGATGTGTATTGGATTAGCTCCCTCTTTAGCCTCCATGCTCTACACCTCTGTAGTGTAGAAACACCAGCAAAAGTAGACTGTAAAGGTTGAAAACTTTGGGCCTTCATCTCTAAATCCACAGATATCATGATAGATAGGGAACATAGTTCTTCCTGGTTCCCCTTGGCATATGCCATGGCCTTCATCTTCTCCACCTAATCCTGGTTTCCATTGCCATCACCATGTTCTTCAAATATCGAATCAATCATGAAATCCCATAGATCATCATAAATTGGTCTACCCATGTTATCTTGTTCTTCACCATAGAATGGTTCTTCATCAAAGATCGGCTTGTCCATGAGATCACGTTTCTCAACGTATAGATCATCCACAGTATCCTCATCAAAGATAGGTGGACCTATGGATCATAGAAGGGCTACTAAAACTGCAAATATGAAAACAAACCTCGATCATGAAACGTAGCAAAAATGTCCCTTGACTGGTTATGAAATTGTTTAAGATTCTCTAAATCTTACCCATGACTGTGATTGGACTTAGTCCTGCCCTTGTCTTTAACGACTGAACATCGATTAGAGCAAATTAGGCAAAAAATGTTCTCGAGTCGCAACTTCTGTAGTTGACAACCACTTCTCTCAAAGTGGGTTATGTAGTTTTTTAATTTCACTGACGTTTCTGTTTTATTTTTTTGTTTGTATGACGCAGTAAACTGCTCTTCCCACAATTTTGGACAGTTTGTTACTCTGAGAAATGTAGCAATCTGCTGAAAAAACGAGATTGTCAGAAGATATTATACTCCCGCAGGTGTGTGCTATCCATTTACTCCCTCAGGAAAAGCTCCATCTAGGTTTAATTTTAGGACGTCAAATTTCGGGGATGTAACTTCTTCAACCATGAAATTGACCTCAAGAAAAAAAACTTTCCTAATTGCACCCTCTATGCACAAAAAAAGAAATAATGTCTCAAAATTAAATAGAAATCGTTCTAATTTTTTGAGAGTGAAATCTTTGTGTTAGGAAACTCAAAATCCAATTTTTTTTCTTTTGAGAACAATAATTAAGTGATTCTTAAGGACTTCCCAAAATTTCAGATTGAAAAAATCCTCCCAAGTAGGTCTTTTGACCAAGGGAGTAGATGTACACTATGCTCTTGTGGGAGCATGGTATACACACTCAACGATATTTGCATGGTGAAAAATTGACCCTACTGCTGATTTTTAGGTTTTTGTATTCCCATGTTGTAGTAGATGCCTACCAGTATTCCTACTTCTAAGAAACAATGCAAAAGTTTTTGATTTGTTGGATGGCAATCTTATTGCTTGTGATTCACATGAGCATATTTGTTGGGACAAGTTTTGGAGTCCTTATGTGACAGTGATAGTTAATTAGGCGCCATATGAGGTATTGTGGTGTATGTTCATCACGGATGACGTACTGTGGTGTATGTTGATCGGGGATGACATAGTTTTGGCAAGGTGGCAGTGGTATCAAAGCCTGGGTTGAGGTTGTTGGTATAGTTCGAATGCAAGGTTCGAAGTGAAGAAATTTGATAGCAAGCACTATTTTTCAAGCAAGAATGATGAAGGAATTATTTGACAAAAGATGAAGAATTTATGAAGCTATCCAATGAATGTTGGCATGGTGAGCTGATTTTGAAATCAAGGTGGAGATTGTTGGATTTGGTGCTATAAAAAATCACCCACATAAAGAAATCCCATATTATGTGGGATTGAGATTGATACTGATAAGTTTCCTAAAGGAAATAGAAATCCAAAAGGATTAGGACTCTTGAGTATATCTCTTAGTTTTGAGATATATGTAACATCTATAGGAAGTTTCCTATTTAGTATCGATTCCTAATATTATATGTATGTGACAAAAGTGTAGAAAATTTGTGTGACCTATTTGGGTCACCAAATGGGAAAGGTAGCTTCCTCTAGAGAGAGAGGGGGGTAGGGGCCTCCTATGCATGAGATGCAAGGTCTCTCTTAGAGAGAAGATAGCTTTTTATGGAGAGAAACATTGCGATGGTGCTTCCTGTAGACTCCTGAAGATTGAGAGGTTGGTTTCTCATAGAGAAGCAGTTCCCATAGAGATTTTGGATGGTTTCTCCTTTTAGTGAGAGAAAGTCTCGGTTGCTCTCAAAGTTCTCTTCCTAGATAGTGGTCTAGTTATTGGTTCTACTTATGGAATAGAGATGAGAGATCGGCAGTGGTGTTGTTTAGGAGAGCAGGTTTACAAGGGTTTGCTCGATTTGGTTTTATCGAGGGTTAGAGAGGTAACTCTATGTCTTAAAATCTTTGATGTAACTTTCATTGGTATTAGTGGATTTCAGTTTGATGTGCCCGATGATGTAGTCACATATGTGATGAACCACATACATTCTGGTGTTATTTTTTCCTGCTTTATTTTTCTTGCTTGTTGCTTATTCTATTTTTCTCGTACTTTATTTACCAAAAATAACCACCCATCGGGTTTAGAGCTTCCGCACACAGCAGAGAGTATTGGCGACTTCAACGCAAAGGTAAAATGTTGGAAGGATGCTCTAGAATCTAGTGGTTTTAAAACTAGTTAGATTAAGATAGAATATTTGCAATACAAGTTTAGTCATAATAGGAGCAAAAATGAGGAAGTAGTTAAGTCTGATGGTCAAGAAATACTTGAAAGAGATTGTTTTTGCTATCCAGGGTTGATGATCCAGGAGAATGGAGAGATTGAGGAAGCTGTTGCACATAGAATTAGAGCTGGGTGGGCAAATCAGAGATATGCATCCGGAGTTTTGTATGATCACTGTATACCATTGAGACTGAAGGGGATTTTCTATAGGATGGCTGTAAGACCAGCCATGCTTTATAGGATGGCATGTTGGGCGGTCAAGAAATAACATATCCATAGAATGAACGCAGTTAAGATGAGGATATTGAGATGGATGAGTGGCAATACAAGAAATGATAGATCTAAGAATGAATACATACGAGAGAACTTCGATGTGGCTTCAATAGGCAATAAGATGAGGGAAAAGTAGACTTAGGTAGGCTGGCCTTGTGCAGCATAGACCTAATATAACACCTGTTAGGAGGTGCGATTTGGATCAAGTGAAAGGCTTTAAAAGGGTAAGGGGAAGGCTTAAAAGAACATAGATAGAAGTAATGAGAAAAGATATAGTGACTTTTGGTCTTACTAAGAGTATGACCTTTGATAAAGAAGAATGGAGGAACATGATCCAGTAGCTGACCCTAAATAATTGGGATAAGGCTTGGATGATGATGATGATGTTTGATACTAATAGCTTGCGAGAATAAGCTTCAAGTGTCACAATATCCACTTTTATGGTTTTTTGAATGTTATCATGGAGAATGTAAATTATTTGATGTTCTTGAGATCCCTGTATTGTAATTGAGACTCAAGTATTGAGACCAGGTTAGAATGTCAAACTAATGCACATTCTTAAAACCAAAGTGAATAAGCCAAGCCACAGGAGCTTACTGCTATAAGACGTAACAAATGCATGCAGGACAAGGCAATGCACCATTTCACGGATAGGGGAATGGAAAGAAACATGGGGAACTAAATGTTGGCTCTTGATCCTATTTTTCATGAGAAGAGTGAACAACCTATGGATGCGGAGCAAACTGACCAACATGATATCAGGTCTCTGTACACAAGATCATGTCTTACTTGAATGGCATGCTAATATAAACATGCTGAATATGGCACTCTTGACAAGTTAGCCTCTTGTATTTATTGAAATGAACATAAAAATATACGTGACAAAATATTTTTTTGATTGATGCTAGACAATAGAAATACATATGGAAGTACCCGTTAGTAAAATGCTTGAGGGGCTCGACTTGGGCCGATCCTCAAGCCTTGCCAGTCAGAGAGCATACTTATGTTGGGTTTTTTTATAAACCAGTTATCGTAGTGGAGCTTCCCTAAATGATGTTAGATGGATTGAAAGGATTGGCCTCTCTACTAGGTACCTATTATAGGGCAAGAGTTGACAAAGTAGAATACGATTTATTTTTATTTTTTCTATTCCAAAGGTAAACATCCCACCCCATTTATTCGTAGATTATTTGTTGTGGTAGGGTTTTGTGGCTACTAGCAAAATCTTTTGCTTCATGCTTTTGCAGACGTGTCTTTTGGAGAATGAAGCATTTGTTACCATAATTTTGCATAATCAACATTATCCATGTCCCAGGAAAGCAAACTCAGACATGTACAGTTAAGTTTGCTACAGCTGAAAATTAATGAAGTTCATTGCTTCCATGATATATGGGTGTCATTTTGCCGTCATTTGGCAATTCTCATTTGTTCTCGTCATTTCATTGCTTATTGAAAACTAAAGAAAAAAAGAGAAAGTGACAAACTGATAGGTCTCCAAACATCTTATTACTTGATTCCGATGATTCAAAAAGCGGACCGCCCAGCGCCTTGGCGGCCGCTTAGGCGGTCCAGAAGGCTTGGGCGCATTGCCCAGGCCTAGGTGGCCGATCTGGGCGGCAGTCCTTGGATGGCCACCTAGGTGGTACGGAACCCACCTAGGCGGGGCACAAGCGCCGCCTAGACGAGCGCCTCGCCTAGAGGTGGAATTTTTTTTTTTTTTGTATTGATTTTTGTTTAAAATATAAAGGGTTAGAAGGATGGTTTTAAGTTCATTTGAAACCTAAAACTTATTGAAGCCCATTTTAGAGAGAAAAAGCCTTCAAAAAAACTAGTTTTTGGTGATTTCTTTAGGATCGAAGGGTTTCTCAAAGTTTACAAAAATTGATCACATCACCCATTGATATTAGATTTAATTTTTGATGTTTTATAAATCTATTGGGTTTTTTTTAGAAGATTTTGAGTCCTTAGAAGCATCTTTGAGGTGGAAGTTTGAAGATTGAGCAATCAAACTCAAAGTAAGTGCCCTAGATACCTAATTTTTATTTTTTATACTATATATTCTTTTTTTGTCCAAATGGGCATCCTTTTTGGATTCGACTGAGCCGCCTAGGTTCTGGGTGCCCGTCTGGGCGCTCGCCTAGGCGATGGACGGCCTTGAACCCCCAAGCCGCCCTCCTAGCACTTTTTGAAACACTGTTTGATTCCAATAGGATAGAACAATGTCTAGTAGCCAAAGCGCATGTATTCTACACACATCTTGCAAATTCTTTATGCTCATTAAGTGAGGAATGGAACCTTGATTCATTACATCTTGGATGTAGCCCTGCTCAGCATCGATTCTAATACATGGTTGGCCTCCACATTAAATCTGTAGTTTGTTGGCATGTAATATTTAACTAAGGGACCTTGTTCCCACCATGTTACTACGAATTATGATCATCCTTCTTTCTGAGCTAATTCATTGCAATGAATGGCCAGTTTTGACAGCTTGTGTTCTCTCCTTAACAACTTGCTTTCCTTTGATTTCAGTTTGGACAGAGAAGATAAAAATGTATCTTTACTGACATGAGGTTTTGATATAAACCGCTTTCTTTTAATACTTGCCCTGATGGAAATATGAAAGAACAGGAATTGTCTAAATCTTTGGTGAACATTTAAAAATTGTACTATTGCTATGTCTATATCGATCATTTTCATGTGGGCAAGTCTTTTCTGCATTTTTTGCAGGTCCATTTAACAGTAAACATCACTTTGGTAACCGCATGGTTAGATTATGATTTTGAAATAATGATTTGAGTTGGCGAAGTTTGTTCCTTTCTTGTTTTTCCTAGATAAGCATGGAATGAACGAAGTGTTTGGGGCTTCATCATTTGGCAAATGGCGTTGAATGTGATTTTCCACTGAAAAAATTACTTATCTTCTCTCATTTAGGCTCAAATGTTCTTTTATTAGTGGGCATTGGATTAATATACTTTTTTATTCGAGAAAGATTATATACTATGAGAAGTTCATTTCGTCCTTTTATGTGCACTTGGAATTGATAGGGACTTCAATCCTATTAACACTTATGTGCATGTTCTGTTCAATTTTGATTGTTGTGTTTGAAGCTGAATGCACGAAATGACTACTCTCCGTTGGATGCATGTGATTGCATAAGTTGCGATTGCTGCTCCATTTGCTTATTATTGTTGCATTTAGATCAGTTGGACAATCATCATCTTTATTGAAAGGTTCCTTTTTCATTCTACAGAGGGTAACCTGTCACTAATTCCTCTACATTATATTCTGAGTATTTTATGTACTTCGATCGCAGTCTGGTTATTCTGTACATATTGCTGGATTGATGAGGCTTGACGTGGAGGAAACATCAGTGGACACCATATATCTTACTGTTTGGGCATCTCCATACCTTCCCCTTCACATGGGGAGGGTGGAGAATGCGAGCAACATGTTAGAATCCCATTTTGGAAGCCAGTTGCAGGTAAATGTCTGAACTTAGAAGCACCATAAATCTGGTATACGAGGAGCCTGATCATCCTATTTTATCTCCCATACTCTGCGTTAACAAGGTATTCCTCTGAGTTGACTTATGTTGGGACCTGACATGGGTATATTAAACTTCAATGGTTCTATTATTTAACATCAATTATTCTATGTTTCAAAAGACTGCTGAATCCAAGGTCTCATTGATTTGACTTTGACTCAGAGACAACTAACTCATGACCTGATTCAATATTTCTAAACTTGGTGGAAATAGTGTTTCACCAGTTGGCCATATTATGACATGGAATACTCATAAGGAAAAGTGATTGTGAAAGTAATGAAAGTGTACGACAGTTGTTTTATTGGGATCAACTGGGAAATCTAAATAATTATTGTTTCATTTTGAAAGTCGAATATTTTGGATAATCTCTTAAAATTTTGGATAAGTGGTACTTCTAAATGTAGGTACTTATTTAAGAAAATGATGCCTTAAAAAGGTTCTGAGATATGCTCTCATCTGATATCACAGGTGGAAACTTCTAGGTCTTAATTTGGAAGTATGTAAGAGTATTTCTTGGGTGAACTTGAGGTGGTTATTTGTCATTCTGGTTGTTTTGTTTCTTTATACCAATCTTGATGAAACGAGGGTTGTTTTGATTGCTTTCAAAATTCAAAGATAATTTCTCTGTTCTCTGAAGCACAATTGTTTTGTAACTTCTCTTGACAATATTATCTATGATTTTCTTGAAAATATCGATATTTGAGTCATTCATGGAAATTGGAAATCCTTCAATATTTTTATTGTCCTGAAGTTCTTTACCATCTGTTTATTTCCAAAACTTGAAACTTCAATGTTAAATTTTGGGATTTCCTTCGGATTAAAATTAGAAGATCAACTAGTGTCACTTGAACATTTGTTGATAAGCGGACCCAATACAATGAGGCAAGTACCGTAATCTCACGTAGTCATGTAATGAAATCCGGGGGCAATTTTCTAGGGGAGCCTGACTCCTTTAGTTTCTTTGCAGACGATGCCTTATTCCTGCAAGTGTTAACATGAATACCTATAGTTTGAGATGTGAGGAATGACACAAGGTGGCATTCTTTAATAGTTTCTTTGATTTTGATTGCAGCCTCCTATAGGGGAGAATCGAATCCAGGAACTTGGTAAGTGGGTAAGGAAGGATTTTACAATCACTGGAAGCAGTTGGGAGGTGAGCTCGATGGATGTGGCTGCTGCTGGTCTTGGCTGGTTTGCAGTAGGCTTCAAGGGAGAAGCCCATCTTGCTGTTTGGACCTATGAAGGAGTAGATGTTATTCTTCGAAATGCATTGATTCCCGAAAGGGCATGCATATTTGAAACCACGGGTTTCACTGTCTCGAAGATCGTGTCAAGAGCTGATAAAGCTTCGAACAAGCAGCGTGGAAGTCTCTAAGAGAGAATGGAACCCTAGATAGAGAAAAACTGATAACGGATTTGGTTATCAATGCAAGGGCATGAGTTTTTGGCTTGTGGGGCATAGTGGTGCTTTTCCATTGCGTCTCTCTCAACAGATGCAACTATCTGGCAATACAGTATAGAAAAACTATATTAAGTGCATTACACTGTGACATACTTTTAGCCCATTGGCTCCTCAAGGTCTAATGGAAGGGATAAGTGGTGATGGAAGAGAGAGAGAGAGAGAGAGAGAGAGGGGGGAGGGAGAGAGACAGCTGCCTAAGCAAGATATGGCTTCAAGGGTCTCTGTATGGGCCAAGATCAAGACATGAATTACAAGAATGTAAAAGAACCCGTTGGATTGCCTATTAAGAGCTTTTGTACTTGTGCATGCAAACCAATATTGAACTGGCTTTGATTGCAGGAGTAGATTGCCTATGATGGAAGGTGGGAATCGAAAGAAATTTGTATTCTTCACCAATATATAGCCTTTTTTGTCGTTGTTTTTGTGAAGTTATTTCTCCATTATCATGAAAGATTCTGAGTTAATGCATTTTTACCATTGTTTTAGGATATAAGGTTTTGCATTTTTTAGATTTAAAATATTTGTGGATATGAGGATCACAAATCTAACCATTCTAATTTCCTGCTTGATATTATCGTGTTAAGATATTTTGGATTGATTTTTGGGATTTTTTAAAATTGAATAATCTTTCCAAATCTAAAGGTTAAAATGGGTCGATGGGGGTGGTTTTTTATTAAGTACTCATTGTTTTTTTAATTAAAAAGTGATTTTACTGGTTGCTTAATAACCAAATGAAAGTGTATTTGGAATTTTTCTATAGTATAATGATGTTTTAAGGAAACCACTATTCATCTTTTAGGGGTTGTTTGGTTCTTTGAAAAATATTGCCAGAAAAGAAGATATTAGGAAAGAGAATAAAAATAATAATTTCCCAGGGAAATTGCCTATTTCCACCATTTGGATCCATATTTTGGTGTGGAAATTTTTTAGGGAAACTTACTAATAACCTCTATGTGCAACTTGCCCAGATCAAACTTTTTTTTTTCACTTTTCATACCAAAATATACTTTTTTTAGCAAATATTTTCAATCAAAAATAAATAAATATAAGACTAAACTATCCTTGTTTGACTATACCCATGCTTCTCTCTCCTCTCGACAAAATTGTTGTCCGGCGGATATACATAGTGGCCCGACACTATTCTTTCCGGATAAACATGCGATCTGGCAAATGTATATTATGGTCCAGCGCTTATTTCGTGGACAAAATGCGGTCTGCCAGATCCCCATGCCAATCCGACATTTCTGTTCTTGAACAAATATGAGGTTTGGTAGATCTATATGGCGGTCCGGCAGATCTATATATGTTGTTCAAGAGGTCTATATGCGGTCCGACAGATAATGACGGCGGTCCGGCATAGTTTAACAGGTCCGACAATTGTTACAAGGCGGTCTGTAGCTCATGTAGCTTGTAGTACTATAGGCCCATGTGAATGTCCGACCAAAATTAATTTTTTATATACGAAAAAGAGTATTTTCGTAAAAAAATGTACCTTTTTTTACTTGAGGGTATTTGCTAGAAAAGTATATTTTGGGGTAACAAGTGAGATAAAAAATTTGGTTGGGGTAAGTTGCATAGGATGTCTATTCTTGTTTTTTTTTTTGTTTTTGTTTAGAGAAAATATCTTCATACCCTTTATTTTTAGGTTTCATTTTTTTATAAATCCAAAGTTTTAAAAGATATCTTCTAACCCCCTTGCCACTTTAAACTTATTTTTTAACTTTAAACAAATATAAGAAAGACATGTTCTTTCTAAACCTAGTCATTTCTCTCTCTTCACTTATATACGCCAAACTTATTTCTCTCTCTTCCTGTGTCCCTCACTCTCTTTCTTCTCTCGTCTTTCTCTCTCCTCCCAATAACCTCTGATTTCCATGAAGCCCTTCTCTCTCTCTCTCTAGAAGTTTGGGAGGATGGATTTTAGAAAAGGCATGTCTTTTTCAATTTGGTAGGCCTAAAAAAATATGTTTAAATTAGCTCCGGGGGTTAGAAGAAATAAAATCTACAAATTTTATGCTCCAAGATATCTTTTAAAACTTTTGATCTATTGTGAAATGAAACTTAAAAATAGGTGATATGGAGATATTTTTTATTTTTTTTATGCTAGAAATCAATTTATGCATTTTGAGCTCTAAAAATAGAGATTATTTTTCTCCTCACAAGCTATAAAATTAATTTCCCACCGAATTTCTTTAGGAAATTGAAAGAACAAAAAAAAAAATTCAATACAAGCGTATGCTTGTCGGAGCATGGTAGAAAAGGGTGATCTTTCTCTCCATCTCTCTCTCTCATCTCATCTCATCTTTTTCTAATTGTCAAAAATCCTTATATCATTGCTTCTCCTCTCGTATGTTTTTCCCTATTTATAGAAATCTCTTTCTTGCTCTAACCATTTCTCTCTCCCTATTCTTCCCTATAAACTCCTTGCGTTTTGATTCTTCCATGGCAGAAATGCACCTTTTGGGAATATCTTTTGCAAAGAATGTTTTACATGGACCTTAACAGGGTCTTGGCAGAAATTTCACATATGCATTTACTCAATGATCAAACGGTCAGAAAAAAATAAGGAGAAAGGGCTCTTTGAGGAAAAGGGCTTTTTGAGGAATAGGCCTTCTGTATAATTTCTTTTAAATATTGGCTCTTTTAGGGTCGGGCTGTCGTTTTTGGCTCTCTCATTCCCCTGGGGTTTACATTTAGGGATGGCAATGGACCCGGACCCGGACCGACGAGTGGGTTGGACTTGGGTCTGGTTATAGTTTCAAAAATTGGACCCAATGCGTCAGGTTCAGTTCAAATCTTGGACTAATATTTAAATAATATTTGAATATAAAATAGTTAAATAAATATACCTATATATTTTTAGTTGTAATAGGTAAAGGGTGTGGTTTCTATCAGGTTGCAACCTTAAATAATCCAATTAAGGCGCACCTCCAATTTTTAGCATAAGATATAATTTTGGTGTAAAAATTCTTAGGATTATTTGAAAATCTAGTTTTATATCTAATTATAAAGTTTTAAATTCCAAAAATGGTTACAATCAAGTAGATCTATAAACATATGAAAATCTTGAAAATGAACGATGTAGATAATGTACTACAAGAGGCACTATTTCTAGAAATTAAATTATTATTTTTTTCATATTCATTAATCTCGATGTTGAGATGATTGATTAGAGGGTTTTTCAACATTAAAACAATCCTTTTTTTTAACCAACATCCTAAAGACTTTATTGATCACTTAAAAGGAAATTACAACGTCATAAATAGTAAAAGAAACAAGAGAGACCCCGCCTTTTGCTAATGAATCACGATAGACATGGGAAAAAAATACAGATAATGATGCAGTAGCATTCATAACCTATAGCCATAAAGAATGAAGTTCCCAAGGTATTTTCTGCTCCTTCCTGCACCACCTAATAACATTCAGAGAATCTCATTCAATTAAACAACTTGTCCCTCAACTCCTTTCAATGAAAATATTGACCCCTCTAAGCAAGACACTTAATTCTGCAAAATTAGCAGTAGCAGTACTAATTGGTCCCGCATAGGATAAAACAATACTTCCAAAGCAGTCACGAATAACACCACCAATACCAACTGGGCCTGGGTTCCCAAAAGAGCTATCATCAAAGTTTAGTTTCAGACAACCCATAGGCGGAGCAAACCACAATCTCTTAGGCCTCCAACAAGTCCCACTAAGAGAAAACATATTAGAGAGATTGACCCTAACATTAACTTTTGAGATCCCCCATCCCTCCTTGGACACCGAGAGACTTGTCCAAATAGAAAGTTTGATTATATAAATTAACTTGTCAAACAGCAAAACAGATCCCTCAAAAGTTCTCCTATTTCTCTCTTTCCAAGCTTCTCAAAGGATCAGCCCTTAAGCAATTTTCCATATTACACCAGCAACTTTAGGCAAAAAGGGGAGCGTAAAATGAGTAACCAAATCAAGCATAGTAAGAGGCAGCACTAAAGAAACTCCTACCAAGTCCATCAACCAATGCCAAATTCTTGAAGTAAATGAACAATGGATCAAAAGATAAGTAATTGATTTTCCGTCTTGGTTACAAAGTAAACAAATGTTAGGCATAATCTTACCCTTTTTTTGAAGATTATCAATAGTCAAGATTTTGTTCTGCGCAGCCAACCAAACAAATAGGTTGACCTTATGGGGTATTGGCCATTTCCAAATCTGAGCAATAATAGGACATGACCATCTCCATCGATCATGGAAAAACAAATTATAGCAAGATTTGACTGAGAAATTACCATCACATTCGATCTCCAATACTAACATATCATCTGCATCTTGTGAAATATACACTATGTCCAAGAGTTCCATAACTGAGCAACATTAAGAAAAAAGTAGGTAATTTAAACGCTTATATTTAAGAGGTATATTCTAAGAAAGTTGCTGGCCTCTCCTTTCCACTGCTTCACAAAACAAAATATTTGCATTAGAAACCACACAGAACAAATAAGGGAAAGCAGCTTTAAGAAGAAAGTCCCCAAAGCATTTGTGATGCTAAAACAAAACCTATTATCCACTACCAACATTCCACCTAAAGTAACTAGAAATCATGGGTCTACAGTTGTAAATAGCTCGCCACATATAAAAGTCTCCTTACCTCTCCCCCTACCAGGCCATAAGTCATAACAATCCATCTCATATTTAGATACCAAAACTTGTTACCAAATATGGTCTTTCAAGAGTGTGTTGCGCTACCATCATTTACACAAAAGAGTTTGGTTAAATTTTCTAACATTCCGGATACCCAAACCATCTTCACACTTGGGGTATAAACTCTATCCCATCTTAATAAATGGAATTTCATATTTTCACCATACGAACCCCACAAAAAATCCCTCATCATCCTTTCAATTCCTTTCTCGATCGAAGCTGGTATTTGGATGACCGACATTTGATAAACTGGAAGGTTGGCCAAACGTAATCTTAAAAGCGTAACCTTACCCCCCAAAGATAGATATTTATGTTTCCACAGATCAAGTTTGACTTGTACCCTGTAAATTATCCTAGCCCACACTACAATAGAAAATTTAAAATCTGAAATTGGTAAACCCAAATAAGTGATTGGGATAGAACTCATTTTGCACCCCATTACAACAGCTAGGTTATTCACCAAAGAATATGCACAATTTATACCCACCACTGATGACATATGGAGATTAACTTTGATCCCCAAGGTGACTTCATAAATTTCAAGAAATCTTGCTATATTACCCAACTGTAGTGCCTCCGCATCATAAAAAATAAGAGTATCATCATCATATTGCAAGTAGGAGTCTGTAATATTAGAATTTGCAATCTTGAACCCCGAAAAGGCTCCCTTCCTTTTTACTCTAGTCAACATTAATCTAAAACATTCTGCATAAATGATATATAAGAAAGGAGACAGTGGATCTCCTTGGCGAAGACCTCTCGAGGCCT